TTCATCATCATCATCTCTCTCTCTCTCTCTCTCTCTCTCTCTCCCGTTTTTTCGCCCATAGCTATCGGTCGTCTCCGTAGCGTTACGGCAAAGTCGCCTAACAAGAACCCGAGATTCCCCCGCGGAGCGTATCGAAACGGTCGCACGCGTTTTACCGGAGTGACCTGCTTCGCTGTCGTCGCCTTTCCGCTTGTCGACGCAGAAAGAAAAATTTTAAAGAAAAAGAAAATCTCGTCTCTGACAAGCGTATCTGCGTCGGAAAATGATCGAAAAAATCGAAGCTATCGTTCGATAATTTTCCGAAGGAAAATAAATTAGAAAAAGCATCGACTTCAAAGAACCACACACGCACGCACGCACGCACGCACGCACAACACGATAATTTTAAAATTTTAAAAAGCAATAAAACAAATATTTTTTATCTACATTTTTTTTCTAATTATTTTTAGATGCTATATTAAAAGATTTAATAGAAGGCTAAATTTATTATCGAGCAACGGATTCTGGGAGGATTTGGCAAGGGGAACCTAGAGAGCGCGGCGCGGTCGGGCGGAATAGACTATTCGATTCCTACGCGTCGTAGCTGTCAACAAAATCGGAAATTGTTATATTTTAACAGTACGACGCTCGCGGATTATTTCTACGCCAAAGTTATGCAAGCAACGAATTCTGGGAGGATTTGGCAAGGGGAACCTAGAGAGCGCGGCGCGGTCGGGCGGGATAGACTAATCGATTCCTACGCGTCGCAGCTGGCAACAAAATCGGAAATTGTTAGATTGTAGATTTAATTTTATTAGAAGGGTTAAATAACATTGAAGGGTAAATTTCCTTATAAAAATTATAAAATTTTGAAAAAATAAAATTATAAATAAATTTATGGACAATCATTATAATTATTGTTTAGGCCATTGAAGAATGAAGATTTCGATTCATTATCAAAAGACATTGAAAAATTGTTTCCAACAGAAACAAGAGGCACGTATTACATTCCGCCTATAGCAAAGAAATATTCGAAAAGTAGCAAACCAATTACATCCCGTGGCAAACTGGTTGATAAGTATAAAAATAAAATACGAGATTTTAAAAAACTAACAGGACAGTTTGACTGATAACAGTTCTATATCCACTTCTGCATCTGCTTCAACATCCGCTTATAATAGCGAATTAGAAGGTATTATTAGGATAAATATATAGAACAGATATAAATATAAATAAAGAACATGTATAGGTATATTACAGGGTTAAAAATGTTACTTTATAAAAATAACTCTTTATCATTACCGTTATTTAAAAAAATAACAATTCGTTATTTCTTCCGTTACTTTTTTGTAATGCTAAAGTAAGATTTTTACATTTGTTGTAAGTCTCGCTGTGCGTTACTTACAATATGGCACTTAGTAATAAGCAGGTCACTGTTGCAATCTAATATTGCAACGGTGACCCATAATAATTGAGGACGCCGACGCAGGACTTCGGCAACCTCAATACGCGTCCTCCAAAAACTGCGGCAGTTGCAATTAAGCAACAATTGCAACTGCTGAACAGTGCAGTGGCCCACTTGAGACGGGATAAAACCCGCCGTTCAGCGGACCACTGCGGAGTTCACGTCTAAG